CACACACACACACACACACACACACACACACACACACACACACACACACACACGTACGTTGCAAACATCCCCTCACCACCTCGGTGCCGTCTGCCTTAAATGACAGTGTTTATCTGTGATTCTAAGACAAATGGGGAGCGAGTATCAAAGCATTAGGAGCAGCCACGGCTCCACTGAAGGCTGAAATAATGGATGGTGGAAATGGTAGAAGACCCTGTGCTGCTCATTTCCAAGTGGCCTCTGCAGAGGTGGAAACTTTGCCCCGCAAGCTTGAAATAACCAGAGGATAAATCAGCCCAGCTTCTAATAGGAGGCCATTTAACCAACTGTTTGTTCTGCCTGCTCCGTAGCCCCTTACACCCCTAAAATTTCGCTGGCCCAAGCAAAGAATGCCATGGAAATTTGGAAACTTTGGTCAACTTTTTTCCAATTTTCAGTTATTTTCAAGTGCTTTTATCGTTCGCTACATATTCATTAATTGCAGCGACCTCAATTTCCCTGTCTATGATTCTAAAAATGGTTCTATGTCAGTTTTAATTCTTGTTCTTCCGTGGCTCAATCTGCTTTTCCATTCTCWTCTCAATCCCAGGCTCCTCCGTGATGCAGGTGACGGCCACCGACTCCGATGACTCCACCACCGCCAATGGCATGGTGCGCTACCGCATCCTGTCGCAGACCCCCCACAGTCCCATCCCCAACATGTTCACCATCAACAGCGAGACTGGAGACATCTTTACAGTGGCTGCAGGCCTGGACAGAGAGGTCAGTACGCCCGCGCTGTCTCTCATCATTTCCCCCATTCCTTGTTTGTGATCGACCAGTTGAAAGAGGAAACTTTCAGAAAGGTCCTGTGGTGTTGGTGCCTCAATTATTACTGGTAGTAATATATCACAACTAATGTAGTTTAAAGGAAACTTTTACTCTGAGTTGCTAATCTTGTTAGTGCAGAGCTTGCATCAAAAGAACAAACATGATCTATGTTCATGCTTCATGTCCTAAGGCAAGCTCGCAGGTTGTGTGAGTTGTTAAATGAGGGAAAGATTGCCCCTGAAATCAGCGAAAAAAGTTGCTGCACAAATGGTCAGGTGGACACTACATTGATTTCAAAACAAAGCCCAACAATGGTGAGTTTTTGGGTGAGGTCTAGAGATCAGCCAGTTTTTAGATCCACCTAAAACGAATTCATAAAACAGCATTGTTTTTCCGAACTTTAAACCCTAAACTTTCTGCTGCTGCATCTTTATTTTCCTGCAAAAACATGGCCAACTGCCACTTTTTTTAAAAGTGAAAATTGGTCAGCTGATTGATCAGTCCATGTGAGGTCCTCTGGCAAGACAAAGAAACTTCACTATTATCAGGATCTGTGGGTTTCGATAGTTTTAATATTTTCAGTTTCTTCTTCTTTATAGGGTTTATTGGCGGTTTGCAAAAAGCTTTAGGTGTGCATTACTGCCACCAACTGAAATAGAGTGTGGACTGAAACGACTCTAATATTTTCAGTTTTCCCAATGTTCTCAACTTTCTTTAGTTCAGTCCCAGCCCCTCCCACTCGTGCCTGTTCCTCGTTCATCCTCCCCAGGTGTTTGTCATTGTTTTCTGTCACTTCGATGGCTTCACTGGCGCATTGTGCTGCCAAGCCTGTTTGAGTGTTGAGTTTGTGTTTAAGTTTGATTGTGAGTATTTCTGGAAGTTTTCTGTTAAGAGTTTTTGCTGCCACGTCAGCTCTCTTGTTTCTCTTTTTGGTAACAGTTTGAGTTTTCCTCCGGTCTTTGCATTTTGGTTCACTCACACATGGCAGAAATGATAACTGCAAGAGTAAAAGAAGAGAAAACCTTTATTGGCACGGTTGTGCTTGCATCCTTTGATCACCTGGGTAACTTGTCTTTAAAGGGGCAATATCATGTAAAATCAACTTTTTTGAGTTTTATATCATGTTATAATGTTATACTCTCATAAAAAACATGCCCAAAGCCTAGCTTTGACTCATTCGTGTATGTTTGAGCAATCCTTCAGCGTTTTTAGGAAGCCATGCTGAGGATCAAAATGACAGGTGGGGACCAGAAACGCCTTTTG